CTGCCAGGCTCTTGCTTTCCATCCGCAGATCGGAGGGGATGATGGGGATAGGTGGGGAGGCCCGGGGCCCACGGCCGGGTTTGGGGGACCCCCCCACGCCCTGCCCCTGCCACATTCGCTCCTCCCTACCGACTTCCCAGGGTGTTTGGAAGTTAATGATACTCAACACCTCATGATTTTTTCCTCCGTGTCAAGCAGAGACATGAAAGGGAGAGGGAGGGGCGGGAGACAGGGGTGAGGGGTGGGGGGGTGAGGTGGGGAGGATCCCCAGCTTTCATTACCCCATCACCCCAGACCACCCCCCCTCCACCCCCAGGAGAAGCCGCTGGGGGCTTGAGGTGGATGGAGAATAGATTCATATTTCTGACGTGGTCGGGGTCAAACGAAGCCTTCATTCATCTCCTCTAATTCCCTTTGAAATTAAAAAGAAAAAGAAGCATAAATCAACGTAACGGATGGCCCGGCTGCTTTTCATCTTCTTCCCCCCACTTTGCCCCCCGCTTTGAACTTCCTCCCATCTTCCCCATCACTGGAGATAGCGCCCAGCCTCACCCACCCCCCCACCCCCCCCCCCGCCCGGCCTCAGCCCCTGCTCCAGCAGCCTGGCCTTGGCCAAGGCCCCAGCGGGCCCCGCAGGGCCCCAGAGCCCCGGAGGCCAGGGGAAGGTTCTGGAAGCTCCAGGCTGGTCCTGGGTCTGTGCGGGGTTTTCTGCCCAGTCTCAGCCTCCTGTAGTCAGGGGTGGCCGTGTTCCATTTTAAATAACCCTGATGGTGGTGGTGGTCTTTGTGTTTGCTTCTGGGTTTTTTTTGGGGGGGAGCTTTTTTGTGGGGGGACCTGAGGGGGGGCTGCAGAGAGGGAGGGGAACAAACGCAATCATACCACTCAGTAGACACGGTGGGAAATTATGTTAATGAATGAGTGGAGATGGGGAGGGACTGGGGGAAAGCAAGGAAGGGGAGACATTGTCAAAAAGAATTGTACTCATGGCTGATGAACAGGTAACCCCTGGGCAATCCCTTCATCATAACAAGGTTTTGTTTTTGTCGGTGGTGGGGCTTGAACTCTGGGCCTGGGCGCTGTCCCTCAGCTCTTCAGCTCAAGGCGAGCACTCTACCACTTGAGCCATAGTGCCACTTTCAGTTTTCTGGTGGTTTATTGGAGATAAGAGTCCCACGGACTTTCTTGCCCGGCTGGCTTTGAACCGTGATCCTCAGCTCTCAGCCTCCCGAGTAGCCGGGGTGACAGGCGTGAGCCACTGGCGCCCAGCATTTTTTTTTTTTTAAATCAAAGTATCCTTGACCTCCTTAGCCATAAAGGAAATGCAGATCTGAGCCACACGGAGAGTCCAACCAAGGGCTGGTGCGCAGTGGGTGGGAAGGGAGATGGCGGAGCTACCCTGGAAATCAGTGCAGAGGCTCCGCGAGCCCCAGAAGATGGACCCCTCGGATGATCGGGCTTCTTTGGGGTTGTTGGAAATTTAAGCGGTGGATGTGCAGTTTGTGTCTTTTCAACAACAGCCAGGACCAGCCTTCAGCCGCCTCTTCCCTCTCCATTCCACATGACTGGAATGCAGATGTGAAAGCTGGAGGTCGAGCAGCTACACGGAGGCAGGAAGTGGGTAAAGGAGGGGCATTGCAGGCTTTGGTAAGCGTGTCAAACTGGCACGCCAGCCTGGCCTTCCTGTCCCTGGGGCCGCCGGCGTGTCAGAGACAAGTGACTTCTTCCCCTCCGCCTCAGCCAGCTAGCCAGGGTGCTTGTCCCATGCAACCCAAACAACTTCTGGAAGGTTCTGCAAGGTTAGAGTTGGCAGCCACAGGTTCAAGTACCTGAAAGATTAAGAACACCCAGGACGCGGGAAGCCTTAGGATTTGAAGACTACCTCCTGTTCGTGTATTCTCTCTGTGGAGAGGGTATTACCGAGCACACCTGTACTCCCAGCTCTCAGGAGGCTGGTGTGGGGAGCGTTGCTTAAGTCTAGGAGTTCGAGACCAGCCTGGGCCCTGTCTTAAAAACAAAAACAACAAACCTGGACAAAAGTAAAGGCCATTAGGGCAAGTGCCGCTGCGCCCTTGTGCCGATGAGGGGGAAATCTAAGAGGAGGAAATGCATAGTCCCAGGCCGGGGTGAAGACGGCCCTGTGTGGGGATCCTGGAGCCCATGCACCTGTCCCTCTGCATCATGGGTCATCTGTAGGCCTTGGGGGTCATTCATCTGCTTTCCAGGGTCTCGCGGTGGTTGGAGGCCTTTGCTCCCAGCACCCGGGCTTCCGCTTTGCCAAACGCCGGTGGCACTCGTACCCAGACCCGTACAACCACGCCTGCCTTTGGCTCTTAAAACAGGAAACTGGCCGGGCGTCGGTGGCTCACGCCTGTCATCCTAGCTACTCAGGAGGCTGAGGTCTGAGGATCGTGGTTCAAAGCCAGCCCAGGCAGGAAAGTCTGTGAGATGCTGATCTCCAATGATCCACTCGAAAACCAGAAGTGGTGCTGTGGCTCAAGTGCTGACTTTGAGCACAAATTGGCTCAGGGACAGCGCTCTGGCCCTGAGTTCAAGCCCCACAGCTGACAAACCAAAAATCACCTCTGGTTGAAATGATGACAAAGAGACCCTGATTCCGGAAGGTATTTCGCCTGGGATTGGTAGGGTGTGTTGGTGTTGGTAAGTTCATCTTTCTGTGGCGTTACTTATGTCTGGCTATCCGAGGGCAGACATGGCTTCTAGAAAGATTTCTAGCACCTTCTATGCCCTGCTCGCTGTGGCTGTGGTATAGAGGTGCAGGGTCAGAGGGCATACTGTATCAAGGAAGGCCAGAGCTATGAAGAAAACTTGGCGGGGATGATTCTCTGGCTCATCCAAGACATAAAGCCATGGGAGGAGAATTCAGATACAATGAACGCTGGTTATAACAAACATCCTTTCTGGGTGGACATCTGCTCAAAAGCACCCCCTGCACAGGTATAAATACCCCATCTTTTTCCTTAATTGAATATTCCATGCATTCTAAACAGTTCAGAAAAGGTGGCCAAAAAATACGGGATTACATGCTGGTTTTTTTTTTTTTTTTTTGTCGGTCGTGGGGCTTGAACTCTGGGCCTGGGTACTGTCCCTCAGCTCTTCAGTTCAAGGCGAGTACTCTACCACTTGAGCCACAGCACCACTTCCGGTTTTCTGGTGGTTCATTGGAGATAAGAGCCTCACGGACTTTCCTGCCTGGGCTGGCTTTGAACTACGATCCTCAGGTCTCAGCCTCCTGAGGAGCTAGGATGACAGGCGTGAGCCCCTGGCGCCCGGCGCATGCTGGTTTTTTAAAATAGAAACTCTTCTAACATGTTTGTCCTCCAGAGAGACAGGATGGAGACTCTGTACCTGGAAGTTGCCAAGACGAAAGGCATTTTTAGAACTGAGAGGGGTGTGGTGCATGAAGCAACAGATATGCTCTGATCATGGTCTCTCCGGACCTTGTCATTTGCAGGTGAATGCCTGGCGGTGGATGGGACATTTCGCTCGGTGACCGGAGGCCTGCGATGTGTGGAGATCCTGTGAGATTTCGTCTCCCGGGGACGCCACAGCGGTGTGAGGTAGGCAAACTCTACGCTCCACACACGTTGGGCCGCTGCCCGGCGACGTGTGTTTTCAGAGTGTGTTCTCGCCTTGAAGAAACGCATGGCTGTATCATCTCATTTAAAAAGAAATGTACAAACTGGCTCTTCCCCTTGGAAATACTCCGATTCCCCTGCCCCGTGCACACTTGTCAGCTTCTTCTCAGAAAGTCGCCGCGTCCCAGGGCCTCGGACCCCGTGGAACTGAGCCGCCCTTCCTTCCTTTACGACTGTGCAGGTTGAGATTTCGTGGCAGCCAGCGCCGGCTCAGGGGCGTCGGTTTCGTTCGCGATCATGAACTGCAGGCCTTGGGTTTGAGTTGGCCAAGCACAGTTGCGTGTGAGCTGGCGGTTGCAGGGCCAGAGGAGGACCATGTGGACGATCTCAGGCCTCCCCCCTCTAGTTCCCCACGCGTAGATCGAGGGCCTGGCGCGTCTTACAGCTGACTCATGTGGACTGCAGGCCGAGCTCTTAAGCATTCCTTCCTTCCCAGCCCCTTGATTGGCGGGAAGAGCCAACGACAGGAGACAAGAACAAAAGCACACAACCCCAGCGGAACGCCAACCTGTCTGCCGGGTTTTCTGGCCCGTGGTACAGATGGGCAGGGTGATTTCCAGGCCGGGGCCCTCATGATGTCCCAGGGGAGAGGGGGATGGGGGACTCTCTTTAGCGTCCCCTCCCCCAGTCCTGGTGACATCACCACTTTGGATGGGGGCTCAGCTTAATAGGGACACGAGATCGGAGACGGGCGCCAGCCCCACGCGGCTGCTCGGGCACAATCACTGGGCTCTAGAACAGGCTGAAACCATGACCACGGTTCCCATGGAAACCGCTCCCGGTCCAGCTCCCCAGGCCCGCCGCCATAGCTGTAGCAGAAGACCTGGGCAGGGCGGGGAGGGAGGGCAGTAGAAAAGGGGTGTGGGGCAGGGGTGATGGGGGCTGTGGGGTTGTGGCTGGCCGAGGGTTCTGTGGGGTCCCTGGTGAGGTAGGGGAGTTCAAAGGTCAGAGGGTACCTGGAAGGTCATCCTCCTCTCTGTCTGCTGGGGTGGCCGTGGCTGGGCAGGTCTGCCTGGAAAGCCACCTTCTGGCTGGTGGAGCCGTGGCCCGTGGCCTGTGTGTTGGGGGGGGTCTTGGGGCTGTGATGGGAACCTCTTTGTGGTGGGGTCCTTGCTTGCAAAGGCCCCATTTTCCACCCCATTTTGGGCAGGCGTGGCGCGGGATAGACCTGGAGCTGTTTTGTTAAAGTCCAGGTTCCAATCTCCCTGGTGGAGAGGGTTTGGGGGGAGGTGGGCGATGGACGGATATAGCCCCCCTCTTCTGCCCCGCCCAGAGAGGCCGGGGATCTGAGCCCGAGGATCTGAGGCTGGAAAGCTGTCTTCTGGCGCTGTGTGTTGTCAGTTCTGGGCTGCTGTGAGCACACAGGAAATGAGACCTGGCTCTTCTAAGTGGAGCGGAGAGACTCAAGGCGGTGTTGCTGGGCTCGGCCGGGTGCCGTGGCTTACTGCCCTTGCTCCATCCACCAACGGGCCTGGCATCCTCGCCGCCACCCTCCTGCCTTGGGAGGGAGGGAGATGTGGGGCTCCAGGAGTAGGATTCCTGCCTCCTGCCCTCCCTCCTCTCCCCTCCTCCCTCTTTCCTCCTCCCTCCCTTCCTCCTCCCCTTCCTTCCTTTCTTGCTCTCTCCCTTCTTTCCTCCCTCCTTTCCTCCCTCTTTCCCTTTTCCTCCCCTCCTTCTCCCTCCTTCCTTCCCTCCCTCCCTCCCTTCCTCCCTCCCTTCCTTCTTCCTTCCTTCCTTCCTTCCTTCCTTCCTTCCTTCCTTCCTTCCTTCTTCCTTCCTTCCTTCCTTCCTTCCCCTCTCCTTTCTTCTCCCCTCCCTCCCTCCCTCCCTCCTCACACTCTGTAACAGGTAACAAGGCCTTGTATGCACTGCACGGGTGTGGTGCCCCCCCCCCCCGCCCCCTCTGCTCTGAGGACGATCAAGGCTCCGCTGAGCTCCCTGGAGCTGGGTCACACTCCACTCTCGCTTTTTGTCTGCGATAAGACAGAAGCCAAGCGCTTCCCTTCTGCTGAGATGCGTCCCACACCGGGACGGCCCCCCGGAGACGTGCGCAGGCCCACAGGCCCTCCCCGGGTGCTGCTCCCACCGATCAGTCCGCTCCTCTCGTTCCTGCGCACAGGGGCTGTGCTGGGCCGTCAGACCCACCGAGACTGCGGCCTGGTGCCTTCCGCTTTCCTAACAAGCGCTTGCTTCTGTGAAGCGAGTGCGGTGTCTCCACGCATGGCTCATTTCTTCCGCCTCCCAGTCACGCCACAGACGCTTGCAGAGTGCTGCCCTCCGCATTGGGGACGCAATGTCAGTCTCCTGGACCAACACCCCCGCTCTCTCAGATCTGATGCCCTCACTCAGGAAACGAGCCGGCTGAGCAAATGCACACTCTGTCTAAGGGGGAGCCGGGAATCAATGTTGTAAAGGAAAAGCGAGAAGGGCGGCGTGTCTGTGTTTTAGTAGCTCGTTAGAGAAGGTTCATCCGAGGAGGCAGATGTCTGGGCCTAGAACGGAAGGAGGCGAGGGAATGAGCAAATTGAACCACTGATGGAGCTGTAGGTGCAAAGGCCCTGGGGTGAGCACATGTGGGGACAACTGAGGTTCTCCTGGAAACCGCTGGGAATGTCAAGGGGACAGGGGAAGGGTGTAGGGAGCTGGCAATGGCCAGATTTTCCTGCAATTATTGAGCCTCAGAGGCTGGGTGAATATTTGGGCTTTCACTTTTGTTGTTGTTGTTGGTGGTGGTGGGTCTTGAACTCTGGGCCTGGACACTGTCCCTGAGCTCTTCAGCTCAAGGCCAGCGCTCTACCACTTGATGCCAGTCACTGGGCACACAGTAGGGTCTTCCTTTAATGGCTGGCTGTGGTGTATGCAGTCATCTTCTGGAGTGAGGCATTTGGTCTCTTCTGATTGGAATTCTTGCCTTTGCTGATACATAGAATCACCTGATGCATTTTCCTCAAGGCTATTCCCAACTCAAACACCGTGTTCCAGGAAAGACTGTGAATCACAGCCCAGAAGCAGCGATGTGGCACAAATGCCACATCTGTGTCTCCCGTGGTGCAGTCGATGATCCAGGGCTCCCTGGACCAGGGAGGGGCGGGAGAGGGGAGCGGGGTCGGGGGGTGGGGGGATGAGGATGGGACCGAGGCTGGGCGCCCCTGGAAGCCCCCTCCCCGGCTTGCTCCTCCCACACGGGCTCCCCAGTCACCCAGCTCCTCTCTACAGGCTCGGCAACGGGCCGTCAGACCCGACCCACGCCACGGCCATCTTGAGGCCTTCTATCCCCCATCTTCTAAAGCCACAAGGATTTTAATGACCTGGACCTGGTCCTTGACTCCTGTTCTCTGTCAGAACCACTCTGAGGGCCTGCTGGCATTCCCCCCGCGTCTTCTTACCCCGAGTGACTCAGCCAACGCGAGCAGCCCCCACCAGCTTCTCCCAGAGCAGAGGGAAGAGGAAAGACAAAAATCTCCACCCGGTGAATCTCCACCGTGTGAGCGTGGGGAGGAAGTCGTCTTCCTGGGTGAGGTCCGGGGTTGAGGTCTGGCCCAGGAAACGCATGGGGTTGAGCGGGCCGTGCCCACCATAGGCCAGGGGCACGCAGCTCCCCCGCCTTGGAATTCTTTTCCACACGGAGGATGGCGGGCTGTGGATGCCCAGCGTGCGCCAGCGCCATCGGCCTGCTGGTCTTCCATCGCTCCACACCGCGTGCCGCTGGGCATGGTGGCGGTGGAACCCTGGACTTCCCCAGGAGAAACGCGCGTGGTCGGGCTGTGGGAACGTTTAGGGAGATGGGATCCCTGGCAGAAGCAATGGGGCTGTGGTCGCCAGAGGTGGAGGGAGGAATCTCTTTGGGGAGTTTACTGCAGCCCAGACGGACTTTGCATCTCCCCCCCCCCAACCCCTCATCAATGAAATCAGTCTTCTCCATGGAGCCAGAGAAGGGTGGGCTGGGGCGGGGGAGATCTTGCCCAGGAAGATTTCTAGCTCTTCTTCCAATGACCTTGGCTGTCCTGGGGAAGGGAAGGGGAAGAGGATGGGGAAGAGGAAGGAGAAGGGGAAGAGGAGGGCAGGGTACCACATGGAGGCCCTGGAGTGACAGGAACAGAAAGCGGATAGATTATGTGCCCCTCACCCCGCCCCAGGTTAACAATGCTGGTCCTTGGGTGCCTTTCTGCCCATCTGCTGGCTACTGGTGAAGAATACCGGGAGAACCAACATCTCTGAGTAGCAGGGGGTCTGCTCAGGGTATGTACCCCCCCCCAAAGCTGACCTGAGGGGAGGCGGGAAGGCTGGCTTCCTCTCGTTCTTATTGGTGACTGAGAAGTCAGAGTCACCGGCCGCTGGCATTGCTCCAATATGCTGCAAGGATTTTCTGGAAGCTTCTGTGATTCCTTTGAGCTTGCTTTTCATGACCACAAGAGGGTCACTTCCTGCATTCTTGGAGAGGTGAAGGGAGGTGGAGAAGAAAGGGACAAGGGAAAAGACCGTGCACTGACAGCTGTTTCTTCTTGATCAGATTATGAGAGTTTCTAAAATCCCCCCTCCCCAATGGGCTCTCGTTGGGGTCTTCAGGCCCAGGACTGGTCACCTAGCTGCAAGGGAGGCAGGCAACGTGGGCGGCTGGCTGGCCAGCCTCTGCAACTAGAAGTGGTCTAGGAGAAGGAGCCTGGGGTAGGGGGGGCCTTGGGTGTCCCGTTGATGGTGTTGGCTCACTCACTGTCGCTTGCTTTTCCAAGTTCTCATTTGTCATCTGGGCCACCCGATGATTTGTTGCGTTTGTCAATGTCCATTGACTGCGCAAAGGGATTGCATGTTGCCATTTCCATCCGTAGATGCAACGGACGTTGGTAAAATCCTCTCCCTTCCGTCGCTCTTTCTCATCTCCTTCTCCCT